TTTTTGTTTGCTGGCCGTAATTTACCTAATGTGACATGGTCACAAGGCCACTGGGGGGAGAATCTCGGCTCTTTTTTTAGTTTTGGCATGCTCAGCACTCAACGCAGTTGCACTGGATCAACGCATGTTTGAAGTCTCCAGCTGTGGAAAGTTTAATCAACAAAGTATGTTTCTCTCCTACTTGGCAAAGCCACAAAAGACTCCATGCCGTGAGCTCGTGCCCACATCGCACTTGGCACATCTCGTTGCACATCTTCGTCTTCACATTTGGAAGACACTTTGGATTTCACAGCCTGTGGCAACAGTGTTTCTGCCCAAACGTCCACACTGGCGCTGTATCCTGACGGGGCGCATGCTTGGCGGAAAGTAGCACCGGATTTTCTGCTACTAGGTAGTGAGTGTGGAGGTGCTCAAAGCTTGGATGCGGCGAACAATTGAAACGCAGAGTGCTTTGATGGCTGCAGCGTCGCAATACGAAAAGTCAGAATGACCTGACACACTTAAAGTCTTGGTTGAAGAGCTGGCCAAGCCGTGTGCACCCGATGAATACAACAAAACAAAACAAAGCAATTCCGTATACAGTGATGTTGGAGGCAAACCGATTTGCATGACAGGTTCCTTCCACTGTGATTCACATGAGCAACGTGCTAAAGGTCGGCACCTAGCCCTGCGACGGTACACATTTTGGAATCTATTTTTGCCGATTGACACTGTTGACACTAGACACAGCAGATGTCCAAGGTTCTCTCACTCGACGCTACTTCCTACTGCCACTACTACTACTACTACCACTACTACCACTACTACCACTACTACTACTACTACTACCACTACCACTACTGCTACTGCTACTACTACTACTACTACTTTTCCCACTACGACTACGACTACTACTGCTACTCCTACTACTACTACTACTATTACTACTACTGCGACTGCGACTGCGACTGCGACTGCGACTGCGACTACGACTACGACTACGACTACCACGACGACGACTACGCATTTGCAATACCAACTTGCACAACATTTTGCACATAGACGATACCTCCCCAACAAAAATCACAAAAGGACTATAACAAAAGATAACTTCAAATTAGGTGACCCCTAGTTTTGCCGGTCGCTCGACATGTTCTTGTTGTTGTCATCGCCCACAGCGTTCTCAGATCGTTGTGTCCACTATTTTGGTCAGTTTTGGAGCCGTTTAAAGAATAAATAAGACAATCTACGTGCCAATTTGCTTTCAACAGTTCGTTTCAATATTCACCAATTTTTTGGAGGGGCTGTAGATGCTTCTGCCACAAGCAAGTCTCAAGGTCCGCTGAAACCACATTCCAAATGAACACTAGAGTCTCGAGTGCTTTGACCCACACTGGACTGTGGGGAACATGCTGAGGCTCTACGACGTGGATCCTGCGCAATATGCCGGGCGGCCCATGACGTGTTTTTTCTTGATGGGATAGACTTCAGGCTGGGGAGGGTTCAAAACAATTTGGTGTTGATTTTGCCCACAGAAGCCCGTATTATGACTCACGAAGAAGAACAACCATCTCATTTCACGGTGCTCCAAAGTTGAGTTCAGTCTTTTCATTTTGTGGCACTATGTTTCTCAAAACTGGGGGAGGTCAGGTTCATCCGTGCATGTACAGTGTAGAGCCTTTTTGTTTCCGCAGGATGTTGTTTGCATGTTTGAACCGCGCGTCGTTTGCCAAGGAACTGAGCTTGATGTGCAGCCCGTCCCACTTCGAATTTCTGGAGTCTTGGCTGTATCACTAAGGATATGGTTTCGGCAAATGTTATAAATTGTTGAAACATAGGCACTCCTAGATTCACCATGGCACCTGACAAATGGCTGGAGGGGTTTCAGATCTATTATATTTTATGTTAAGTTGTATGATTTATGGCCAGAGCCTGCCCTCAGGTCGATCCCTGTTAGTTGGTTTTTAGGTACCCTGTGTGATGAGAGCAGCAACATGGCGGTCAATCGTTTTACATCAATTCAGTGCGAGATCCCCTTGGATCCAGCCACCCGGCCCTTGGATCCATGGCACCAGAGACAGCAGTCAGGTCAGACATCATCTATCCGATGCGAGACTCCTATGAGGAGTCCAGATAGACACTCAAAATCCGTCATCACCAGATAGACTCTCCGGTCTCCGGTCTCATCTGTTCGACCGGCACCCCGCGCGCCACGTGGCGTGGCGAACTCGCCCGATGGGTTTGGTGAACAGCCGAGGGTTGGCTGTTGCGAGCCATGGAGGCGCCGGGCGCGCGGAACGGCGCATATCGATGCATATCCGAACTCCGGAACAAGTTCCGAGTGGTGCAAAAACAAGCACCGCAGACCAGTTGATGAAAAGAAACATCCTCTTTCCATTAAGAGGTTGTTGATTTGAAGCTGTCCATATATCGGAGGGATGTTTGACAATACGAGCTCCTGCTCAACATGAAGTACC